ATTATACTTAAACATTTTTAAATTAAATCTGCCATATGACAGCATAAATTTCAATATTTATAGTCACACATGTTCAATGATGGGGATAAGTTCTGAGAAATGTGTTATTAGGTGATTGCGTCATTGTACTTACACAAACTTAGATTATACAGGAATATCAATATAGCAATGATTTAGCAATAGGCTATTGCTCCTAGGCTACAAACCTGTACTGCATGGTACTTTACCGAATATTGTAGGCAACTGTAACACATGGTAAGTATCTAAACATATCTAAACACAGAAAAGGTGCAGTAAAAATACTGTATTATAATCTCATAGTGCCATTTATGTGGTTCATCGTTGACCAAAACATCATTATGACTGTATTTATTAAAAAAGAATCACGTCGGCCTCCTGTGGTGGCTCATGCCTATAATCTAGCACTCTGGGAGGCCAAGGCAAGAGGATCACTTGAGGTCAGGAGTTTGAGACCAGCCTGAGCAAGAGAGACACCCTCTCTACTAAAAATATAAAAATTAGCTGGGCATCATGGCACATGCCTGTAGTCCCAGCTACTCAGTAGGCTAAAGCAGGAGGATCACTTGAACCCAGAAGTTTGAGGTTGCAGTGAGCTACGATGACACTACTGCACTCTACCCAGGGCAACACAGCAAGATTCTGCCTTCAACAAAAAAACAAAACAAAGCAAAAAAGAAGAATAACAGAAACAGAAAAAAACCAAAGCATCAGTAGAAGCCTACGTAACTAATCCCATTTAAAAAAGACTACAATGGCATTAAGCACTACATTATTCGATGTGACTTAAAACATTAGAACGTGTTTTCTAGGTGAGGCTATGAATTCTCTGCTTAAACACACACACACATACAAACCCCTATTCTAGAACCTCAGCTTCCATTTCTCATTCAACATCACTGAAAACCAAAGGGGGTATGAGACAGGAGTGAAAGAAAAGCCATACAGTCTTGCTTCTCATTATTCCAATTTAAGCTCTTATCATTTCTCCCCAACAGAGTCATCTCCCCACAGGCTACTCCTAGGAATCTCACTGTGAAGTGGTCTTGCTAGGAAATAGTGATAACATTATAAAAATCAGTAAGGTATTTTTCCATTTGCATGTAATTCTGCTGTTCCCTATAGAGGCTAGAGAGCAGCACACAGAAAAAAGATTTTGTTCATTGGCAGGAGTGGGTGGTTGCCACAGGAAGAAGAGACTAAAAAGGGCCAGGAAAAGCAAAGAAGGAAGCAGAGGGAGAAAAGAGGTAGAGTGTTTGGGTAAATGCACAGAATCAGAGGGAATGGTTTGCTGCTGGCAGTTTAAAAAAAAAAAAAAAAGACAACCACAATGGCACCTTAGAAAACTTCAAAAGGCCTGTAAGTTTGCCTTTATGGACAGAAAGGGAGGTTCTAGTCTGTTATGTAGGAGGATTACTTGAACTCAGGAGTTTGAGGTTGCAGTGAGCTACGATAGAAAGAAAGTGAGCAAGGGAAGAGACAAAAAGCATTTAGAGACAAAGCATTAAATAGTCATAATCGATAGTGAAATAAGGCCCTCACAATGCTGGTCCAGGGTCCAGTCCGGAAAGCATTCAGGGAAATTAAACTGCAAGAAAAGCTTTGGGGCCAGGCACAGTGGCTCATGCCTGTAATCCTAGCATTCTGAGAGGCAGAGGTAGGAGGATTGCTTGAGCTCAAGAGTTTGAGACCAGCCTGAGCAAGAGACCCGGTCTCTATTAAACATAGAAAAAATAGCCAGAAGTCATGTCATGTGCCTGTAGTCCCAGCTACTCGGGAGGCTGAAGCAGGAGGATCGCTTGAGCCCAGGAGTTTGAGGTTACAGTGAGCTATGATGATATCACTGCACTCCACCCAGGGCAACAGAGCGAGATTCTGTCGAAAAGAAAAGAAAAGAAAAAAGGAAAAAGGAAAGGAAACGAAAAGAGGAAGAGGAAAAGGAAAGGAAAGTTTGAGTTTTGGTCTCTCTCTAACTCCTCATTCATTATCTCCCCTTCCACACCTCTGCTTTCCCCTCAACACTCATACTCTGCTGGCATCATTCTCAGGGTCAAGGCAAATGTTTATGGAAGTCCCTAATTCCATCACCAGATCTATGGTGAGGAAATAAGGAGAAAGGGAAAGGAGATGTTTCACTGGCATCTCACTGGAATTCTGAATCAATTTTTCTACAAAAGTGTTATGTATATACATAGATTATATAGCACTTTTAGTTTAATAAAAGACTTCGGACATATTATATTAATGAATGAAATAGGCTTCTGTGGGCCAATATAGGAACCAAATTCCTAGTCAGAACAGAAAAAACAACATATCAGAGTTTTCAATAACCTACTAAGAGAACATCAATGCTCCTAAGTAGGAGACTATGTGCATATGCAGGTATTTTTGTCCTAGATGAAGTATGACATTACAAGAAACCTTGGACTGACATGCCATCATCTAGTTTCTAGTTCTGGTACTAACCCTAACTAGTTCTGTGACCTTGAGCAAGGCATCTAACTTTTTGGAACATATTTCCCTATGTGAAAATGATAAGACTATCTGCATTTTCTTTTTATAAGCCTTGTTATAAAGGATAAAAGAAAACATTGACAGTTAATGCTCAAAGTACATGACCATATAAGTTGCTGCTTTTACATTTACTTTAAGTTTCCTAAGGTAGATTTCATGTCTATTCTGCTGTATGTACGCTGTATAACTTAGCACTGTGCCTTAAAGCCCTCAGTGCATGTATTCAATATTTAAATGAGTTAAAACAAAACACGAAAAGCACTGAATTAACTGCAGCAATGGATTTAAAGAGGAAAAACAATACTTGACCCTAAAGAGCAAACAATGTAACCACCTTTTGATTTATATTTAAATTCTTATCAGTGCCACCTATTTCTACGACACTGTATCAAGAAGACAAATCCTGAAGGACTGGCTTCTCTGTAACACTAAGGATTCTAGGGCCATTTTGAATGATCAATGAAAATAAAGGTGAAAAAAACCCTCCCATGTATCCTTCAAAAACTGAAGTACTTACCTGACGGACTGCCAAAGCATATTTTATTCCCAGAAGACCACCATGTCTAACCTCCCATTGTTCTTGCGTAAGTAATTTTAGCAGCACATCCACAGTCTTATGCACTCCTGTTTCATTCATGTGTTTTAAAACCACACCTAATGTTTGAGCACAAGTTTCACGAACTGGTGCCACAACCTACAGAGGAAAAAAGAAAACTTATATTTGCAAAAACTTATTTTGTAGAATTTGAAATATGATCGGGCAAAGCCTCCCTGAGGTGATACTTACTTCATCAGAAACAAAGTCTCCAAATCTGTCTAAGGCAAAAACACAAAGGAGTCTAATAACCAAGTCTTCCAACCACTCCTGATGCTGCTGAATCATCTGTTAAAACACAATACTTTTAAAAAATAGATAAAGATCATACTTTTTACAGGTGACTAGGGGAAAACCTTAGGTCCAAAATCAAAGATAAAATACTGCCCATATCCCCTTTGATTA